TCAATAAAAAATGGTTGCAGTGACTTTCAATTTTAGTAATTAACAGATAGTCTTAGTCTTGTAACATACTATTGGAAAATAGAACGTTTTATATCGTTTTCTCGTAGTGTTTTTTAACATTATAGTCGATTTAAGTAAAATTAGACTCTTAACAGACCTTGCATATTTTCCCTTGGATATTATCAGTAACATAACATTCATTTTTAGAACTAAGATTAGTAAATTTGAACACCAACTTGCTAAAACATTATTCAATATATTTCAGAAACAGTCGTATAGATAAAGGGTATTTGTGTCAGCATTTGCTGTTTTAGTTCTATCAAGAAAAAATGAAGGGAAAAAAACAGTGGACAATGAATTAATTAACCTCAACTTGACTTTTGTTGAAATGTGTATTCACCTGTGGTGAATTTTATAACCATCATGTGTATTTATTTGCACTGTAGCAGTCCTTAAAATTCTGACAGGTCTGCAAAGACAAAAATGAAAATACACTCAAATGTGGTTTGAGTGGCCTCCATTTCCTCATACAAAACCAGAAGTGATGTACATTGTCATGTTGATTGTGCATGTATATATATGTGTGCTATACCAAAATTGATCTTGCTTTAGCTGAGAAAACAAACAAAAAATATAAGTTTGAATTTATAAATAACATTCACTTTCCCGATTTTGCATTGTAGAACTCCGACTTGAGTTAAGTACATCTTAAGACCTCCCAAAGTTCTAGAGTCGACATGTGTTTCCAGATAAACACTTGTAATCTGATTATAAACAATACCACTTTAAAAAGGAATGCTACATGGAAGGCTTGAATCAGAATCAAAATAAAAATAAAATAGCATATATCAAACTATCAAAAGTGAGATTTATACGGAGACTCCTGAAAAAGTATGTGTATTAGATGTTTATAGTATCAGATACTTTTTTTGTCTTAATATCAACCTTCTGTACAGGTAGACAGTGGTAGTGTTGACAAGTGCAAGGCGTGGTACATTCTGGAGTATAAAAAATCTGAAAAGAAAAGTAGTGTGTATAATTGTATTTACATGTACTTTCGTTTTATCTTGCATAGTCTTACTTTGCTGTTGCTGAACTCAGGACTTAAGGCCTTTATATTCAGATCCAATTCACAGTCATGAAATGTTAGATCATCGTGGTTACTTCTGGACAGTATGAAGGCGTTATTTGTACTGAAGTTATGTATCGTTTATCCTGTCTATTAGTTCTGATACCTAATAATCTGATTTGCTGATCTCAGAGCGTCATATATGCCTCTTACTATCCTGAACACCTCAATCATGACACCACGATCTCGTCTATACATTAAAGATGGAAGGTTTATTTTCTTTATTCTTCCTCATCTCTCATTCCAGGTAGTAGCTTCGTGGCTCTTATTTGAACACTCTCCAGTAAATTATTATCCTGTGTTTGATGACGATCCTAAATGCTTACTCCATATTTAAGTTGAGGTTAGGTCAATATTTTATACAGCAAACAAAATGACCAGCTATTCAGGTATGTATACGTCCTTTTTATTGTACAGAAATATTCTACTGGCTTATTTGACCGCAGTCTTGATGTGTTGTCTGAAACTTGTCTTCTATAATGTCCAAATTCTTTGCCTCCTTTTGTATCTTCCGCTGACTCGGACTCCTTATCTCTTCCTACTCCAGAAGATTTGGAACATTATGATCCCTCCCAATCCTCATATGGCGACATATATCAGGGTGAAACTTAAAATCCACTTATGAGACCAAGCTGGGAGATTATCTAAATCCTTCTGTAGATCCATGTTCTTCCTACCATCCCTTCGCAATTAGTACAGCTTTCGGCTATGTATTGTAAATTTCAGCCGATGTGCAGACGAAGACTACAAAATGTACGGATGATGAACGAACGGTGTCCCCACGATGTATTTGGTACGTTGTTCAACCCATTGTATGTTTGTGAGGCGGGAAATGGCAGTAGCATTATCTTTTGTTTTGGTGTTGTATTTCCGTGGTTTTGGTATTATAAGTCTGCTGAACATTGTAGTGTTTTAACAGTCATATGATATAATGTGTGTGAAGGGAACGCAACCGGTGTATGATGCTGTCTGTTAAGATCAAATCCATCTGTGTGTACAGACGTTATAAACATGTCCACAATATGTTTGAGCAGAATCTTTCTAAACTGTAAAGACAGGCATATCTTGTTTTGGTTTCAGATACAATGTAAACGATTATTCAAGAATTTAAAGGCAATATAATATTTAAAACGTGTAACGAATATTTCCGACTTTTCTATGATCATTTTTGCAATGCCTACAGCGATTTTTTCATTTTTTGTTCAATTGAAGCAACTTGCCCATCCGTTGTTATAGAAAAAAACATAATGTGTTTTTATTACTACTAATTAGCACGATAAGCAACTAATAAATCATGAATTAATATTACCTTGGAAACTTGTTTATAAAAAAGCACACATCAGAACACTAAGCAGCTTCTCTTTTATTCTGTAGTTTTAACATACAATCTCTAAGATAGGTAAAACAGCTCAGTGTCTTGCACATAAGACCAATTTACCTTTCAAAATCATTCAGACATAAATGACATTCCAGTATGTTGCCGAAATATGATGAGTCTCAAAAATGTGTGACATTATTAAGTGTTCTAAATTCTTACATTAAAACAAGTGTTCTCTATCACCAAATAATTCCCTAGTCAAAGACAAGTCACCTGATATGCAAGTAGGATGCAACTCTTTTCAACGTTCCATTGAATACTACTGGTTGAACAATTCAATGCAGAGTAACCTGGAAGATGACAATCCTCAGTCTCGTGTAGGATACTTTCGCTAAAGTATGTATTTCACTGTCATCCCTTGCTATATCAATAGTCTTACCTAGGGAAAAAATAGTTATTTAATTTGAATCAATCTATGCAAGAAAGTATGTAACCCTGGTAAAATACTAGCCGCAATATACTGCTCGGTTAGAGAACCTCTCTTTAGCTTTTCAGCTAATGAGATCGTCCTTTCATCATAATGTCATCTTTGATTAACAGGTTTGCGCATATCTGTTCAGTCATGAGTTGATTAAAATACTTGCTAGATAAACATAATAATGGAGAACTATAATGTTTCTTTCCTTGTTTCTCTAAGTTCTATTAAAACAAAAACATTGATATCATTGGAATTATCGAGACACCCTCACTGACATGAGCGATAGAATTGCCTCGTAATAATTTCTCTGACATTGATTTATTAGAAAGATATCTTACAACTTCAGAGATTGGATTATAGAGAGCTAGATGTGGCATTGGTTCTCTAATATTATGTGCCATGTAAGATAATCACTTTTATGAGTATATGTTTGCATTTATATACTGAATATCACTTTCTTCACATGGAAAGCATTATCTATACAAAGGTTCACCAGACAATGATATAAGAAATGAGAGTAGGAAGATGAGGCGGATCAGAAATAGAGAAAGAATATTACTACTAAAGATGACAAGATAGAGAGTACTATTTTAAAAGTTGGTATAAAAGATCAATAGATTATACACTATAAAGTATGTTTCGCATTTTTTGTTTTAAAAAACAATGATTCTTTATCATTATTGTAATTTTCCAATAGGCTCAGGTTTGGTGTCATTGTGAGGCCCTTTCTGACATGTCAGTATTGCAAGAATCAATAATCTATGTGTGTGTTTTAGGTAGACTGTAGATGATGGACAAGCTGTAAGTACCTGCAGCTATCATCAACAAAGAACAAAGTTGACTGAGCAAGTAGAAGCAATTCCGCAGCAAATAAGGAAAACTTAGTGCCTTTTTTAATTAATTATCTGTATGAACCGTTGTTTCAATATATCTTCACTGAGTTTCGCTGTCAGTGCTTTCTTTCATCTTTACCAAGACCGGTCTTTTAAAAGGAAGTTTCATCCTTTCCACTTGTAAACAGAAAAAAAATCATTTTCATTCAGAAGGAAATGTTGGAGGTTCTAATGGACTCAAAAGGTTCTTTGCAGTGGCTTAAACTATTTTGATGATCCCTTTCTATCTGACATAACACGCAAATTAATAGGATTGAAATAAGACGAAATGGTTCTTTATAACTGTAACCCTAGCTAAAATGAAAATAGACTTAATCATATGAAAATACGCAACAATATCTAAAGTCCACATCGGACTTCCGGTTTTCAGTTTCAGCTATCGTTTATAAGATTCGTGATCAGGTGGGTGAAACCATCGACAGTATATTTTAGTGAGGTAACACTTTTTAAATGGCTTACATAAACATGTCACAGTCTCCAAAGACAAGGCAAGCACACGTGCGCAACATATGCTTTCAACTCGCATGCACAGGGAGGTCATCCCTAGATTACTCTGCCTGCTGGACAGTATAAACGAAACCTAACCAAGACATGAGACATGTTAATTGTAGTTAAATCTGTTAAACACTAATATTTTCGACTTAATACAAAATCATTTATTTTCGTGTCGGTTTTGTTGAGGACATCGATGGTCGGAATCATTTGGGAACGGGTACCCAGTGGTATTCAAAACAAAACGGGTCGTGTGTCTTGTGAAAACATTCGTCCATCGGGATACTAAGAGCCATGGTTATATGAAGAAGAGTGCCAATTTGGACACCAACAAACAGGATACTTTTCTTTTCATCATTGCAATTGGTGGATCTCGGGGCGAATTCGCTGTTTCCTCTTCTAAATCTTACTGGATGCGGCAAGGTTTAGCAAACCAATCAAAGACTCTTTTCAGAAGTAAAAATAACCGATCCCATATTGTTTGGTGTCGATATATCGGAACTTGGGCACGTTGTGAACAAACTTACATATATCATTTACAAACATATACAAACCCAAAAATAGCCATGGCTAGAAACACACACACTATACACTTTTAGTTCATTAAAATGTTTCTATAAAATGATAATAAAAAGGAAACAAAAATCGTATCTTTATTAATCTTAAATGTATATGTAAACCGAGCACACGTCAAAGATCACCCGGTTTATGACAAATCGGGGAATTGTGTCCGCGTGTAAATAAAAAATCCACTATATTTCCATAAAGTCTTCGATATTTGTCTTGGTTGTGAAGTCGTTCACAGATATCGCACATGTTCGATTGTAGAACCCCGCGGACAGTTTCTGAGTAGAAATATTTCTTCCATTGTAAATATTTCTTGTACTCGTCAGAACTGTAATTTATTTGTTTTATGCGATCTGCCAAAGATTTCACGGTTTTGAAGTCCTTTGTGTCCAAATAAGAATTTGGAGGATGGAACAAACTACGATTGGACCCGTCCCTTATGATTGGAATAATGGTATGTTGTAACACAAGATGGTGTGATTTCTCTGTGTTGTAGTCATCACAAAGGCTGTTCTCAAATGAGATGTAGAACTTATATCGACTGTCTAGCACGTCGAAACAATCTTTTTTCATTTTTAAGTCTGACGCTACTTTCCATATCATCTTGAAATCGCCTACATATCCTAGACCGTATCGGCATTTTAAATTTCCACACCTTCCGTATATGTCCACGTCAATACCGTTTTGGCGGAGTCTATTGATGTATTCCAGTCTTCGAGATTCGGTGTGACAATGGCTGATAAAGGCTACTGCTGTTTTGGTTTTGGATTTAATGATCTTATCCACAACACTATCATTGAATATGGTGGTACGTTTAGAGAAAAGTCCATGGACAAACGTGAAATCAGAATCCCTACGATACGTTAGCGTCCAGTTGAACATATTTCTGTAGCAGTATTTATCTAGTTTATGTAAAATTTCAAAGGAAGTAGGTGCTTCGTGTTCAAATATCACCCATATTTGTCCACGTTTAGTCTTCTTTAAACATTTTTTTAAATCTCTAGCTCTAAATAAAATAATATCTGCATTATCCTTATACTGATGTTGTTTTGTGAGGACACAATTCGACACTCGACACTTATCAAACACTCGTGACGTGTCCCATTTATTTCCTACCCAATCAATAAACCAGTCCTGTGGCGTCCAGAATAATAGCGTTTTCGTGACCCGATCTCTATTAGGTTTAGGTAATGAATACACGTTACTCTGCATGTGGTATTGCGTCGAGTTGTGATATGAAAGGTTTGTCTGACTGGCAAACAGAGTTCCAAACTTTTGATTGTGTATTTGTATATCGGGTTGGATAATTACATATGTAATATATAACAATATTGTCAGAGTAAGGAGCCCAAATAATAACTTCCATCTGCCCAGTAAGATCATGATTTCTGCAAAAAAAAAAGAAAAATGAAAACATCAATTTTAGACTGTATCTTTGCTTTACGAAATACGACCAAAGTCATGAAGTTAAACGTTTGAAAATGAGAGACAATATTAAACAAATACAAAAATATTTCTCAACATACAGTATAACTGAATGTCCTTTTCCTCGTGTCGCACCTCTACGACTAATGAAATGTAATGAAAACAATATCTATTTCCGTTTTCATATATATAAGTATGGTGTTTTATATATATATATATATATATATATATATATATATATATATATATATATATCACCATATTTCGATGGTATTTCAAAAGTTGACTATTGCTCGGATTTTGTTTTCAGATTTGTCAGATATATCTATTTCATCATATTCCAAAATCACTTTATGTTGCAAAATTAAGATGCGGATTAATTACTGATGATATTGTAAGGATTTTGCAAAATTTACAGTCAATCTCTTATAATAAAAAAGAGCTTTAGTGGTCATCTCATTCACAAAAGGCATATACATGAGATACCAGCAGTAACAGTAACAATTGTTAAATATAGAAAAAAAATCTTCGTATTTGAGTATTGGTGAACATAACGAGAGCAACATAACAATTCTTACCAATTTGGCAAAATAACCACAAAATTCAAGATCAATGACACCAGTGGAACCCAAACAACAACCACTCTTGGTTGAGACCGTAGCACTGGAGAAGTGTTAAAGTCTGGAAATGGCCGAAAATGACAACATTTTTTGTCCTCATTCTTCCTTGAAATCCACACCCATTCCTAACTCACTAATTCCTTCATGGATCAGGAGGAGTCAATCCTTTTTAAAAAGGTCAATGGCTCTTCAATTTCTTTGACGGCGTCGAAAAAAGACACGGCTAGGTCCACCTCAAGATCCTTTTAGGCTAGTGTTGACTTAATCAAAGTGATGGGGCCTCAGAAGAGAAATCAAATATGAAATGTTTACACCCGTGTCGGACGGCGGAACACGATGGCTGTAAATTATCCTTACTCCTCAGGTCAGATGAAATAAATCAGCAAGCCTTTCGTGGCATAAGACCAAACCAGACATTATTTTTCATTTGTAAATAAGAATTAAACTTGGCAGAGTTACTTACGTTAGATTCGAAGTGGTCTTTTCCTCTATAGACCGCAAAAATTAATTCAACACAGTCCAACAGTTGACTGTCGAGATATAAGGAGTCAATTTCACTTGCGTAGCCCGTGAAAATACATGTATATGAATGACACCAACTTATTCATCGCTATTCAAACAGTAGAAAGTGCTGCTTAATGGGTTCGCCTCGGTAAACAAATGTGACACTTTACAACGATTGGCTATAAAAGACTTTGTGTGGTTAGACCAGGGGATGACTGACCTGATAACACAAACTAAAGGCATACACAATGGTTATCGAACTGCATGCTTGTTCAAATCCCTATGAATTATCAAACGATAACCAATACTCCCAGAGGCCACAATCTATTGGTAACCCGTTACCACGTCATCTAAAATCTAAACAAAATAAAATAATAAAAAAGGCATGCATATTTGCATATGGCACATAATATGTTTCATTCAATTCAATCAGTATTAAATGTCTTCCACATTCACACTTCATAGGCAAACAAGATGAAGCTTTTGAGAAACAATTGGAGTATACATGTTTGTCGAACTCAATCGAATGCCGTTGAGTATGTATTATGATTAACAATAATCTTGGATATGAATTACATGATAAGAAAATATAATGTCGCAGGAAATAGGTTAGTTATTGATATAACCATTGAAAAAAGATAGAATTACACTTACTGATATATATGGCTAACGTGATGATAGACAGCTTTGTAATAAAAAAAATAATGAAACACGAAAAGTGTTTTAACAATACAGAATGTACAATATGTTATGATTTTAATCTTGCCCTTAATCCTAAAATAGACATTCATATATATGTATATTGATAATCCAAGAGCTAGACCTTTGTGGAAGAATTAGCCCTTTGGTCATTGCTTTAGAATGGGTCATCCAGAATATAAACGCCATGCATGGAGCAAAAGAAACCTCTTTAAACAAGCTAGACTTCATTTATGTTAGGTGAACAAATACACAAACTTGCAGAATACAAAGCCATTCATTGATCACAATATAATTAAAAATATATAATTTTAAAGAAGACAATGTATTATGGAAAATTCAACACGAACATATATGCTACTCAATATGTTACTATGATCAAAATGGATGGCGCTTAACTAAAGTATGCTTTTCCAAGATACGATAAAAACATAAATAATGTTTCAGATTGTGATTTAGACCTGACAATAAGTGCCTAGCTCTTTTTTAGAATCTCTACTTCCTGTGATTAGATAACTATCTATACATCATGCATCAAATTAACAAAATGGAAATACAAGTAGAACAGAAAGTAAATTTTAAAAAATGAAAATACAAGTAGAACAGAAAGTAAATTTTAAAAAATGAAAATTCAAGTAGAACAGAAAGTAATTTTTAAAAAAAATGAAAATACAAGTAGAACAGAAAGTAAATTTTAGAAAATGAAAATTCAAGTAGAACAGAAAGTAAAAAACAAAATTGATAATATTGAGAATAGTGATACAACACTTACAGACACAAGTACTCGAGAACTTGAAAGTTAAAACGAAATGCACTAGAAAGCATCTGAAAAGAAAAAAACAGACAGAAAACATAATAAGATCGAGAGCTTAAATGGTAGAAATCTAGGAAAAGATAAGTAATTTTTTTCTGAAGCATTGAATAAAACAAAATTATGCTAATAAAACTATTTACAGACTTGACAAAAAGAATGGAGAACCCATAATAATAATAATAATAATAATATACTTTATTTAAAGAAGATAATACACGTTTAGCCAAAGGCTAATCTACCACATGATCCTCAAGTTAGTAAAATATTACATTCGTAAGTAAAACATGATATCACATGATACTAAAATACATACAAAATTATAATAGTTAAAGACATTATAACTTATCACAGTCAATATTAATTAAGATTATCACAGATAACACATATTTGTGCTAATTTGATATGTCAATTAGATGGCTTTAAGCCGTAGATACATATATGCTAACATAGCAAAAGTAAAAATGACCAGGATATACGCTAATATAGCATAGATTAAAAAGGAAAATTTGCATTAAAAAGAACAGTTAATAATTCCAAAAGTAATGAACTAGTTGGTCTCTAAAAGAATTAAAAATTGAATGTCTTTTAATAGACTGGGAAGACTATTCCAGTCCTCAGCACCAGATATAAACAATTGTTTTGGGTAAAATGTAGTTATGTGCTTAGAAACAATAACATTATTTGTCACGGAGAACCTGGCACATCTTCTGTGTCCATCATTAGCAAGTTTGCTATTGTGAATACATTTGTAAAACATACATATTCTCTTGAATTTAAAATATTTTTCAATTGGAAGCCATTTTAAAACAGAAAACATATCAGAGAAAGGTGTATCATATGGCACATCAAGTATAACTCTTGCTGCCTGTTTCTGGGCTTTATATAATTTACCCATATGATTTGCATCACATCCAGACCATACAGTACAACTAAATAAAATGGGGTTGTAAAATTTATTTTACCTTGAATGGGAAGATAGGAACATTTACGCCTTAACAAACCTAAGCATTTTGTAATTTTAGACACTGCTTTGTCGGCATGACTTTTCCATGATAAACAATAATCCAGATGTACACCTAAAAGTTTTTCATTTTCCACTTGTTCTAATTCAGTGTTACCATGTTTCAGGCTAAGTTTACAATATGTAGTCCTTGAGAGTTTCTGTTTTGAAGCAACAATCATACATTTTGTTTTTTGGGCATTTACAATAATTTTGTTTTCATTACACCAATCTGTTACATTTTCTAAATTTGTCTGCAAAACATTTTGAATATCTTCTATGGATTTACTTGCATGATAAAGATAAATCATTCATAAATGTCAAAAATAGTAACGGGCCTAAGATTGAACCTTGTGGTATACCATATGTAATGTTATTTGTTTCCGACAGAGTACCAGACAGACTTTTTGTGTTGTATCTGAAAGATATGATTCAAACCATGTTAATGAATTTTCATCACATCCATATCATTTAAGCTTTTCTAACAAAACAGAATGATTTACTAAATCAAAGGCCATCTTAAAATCTGCAAAAATTACACCTGTGAAAAGCCCATCATCAATATTTTTGGCCCAAGAGTTAACAATATTTAACATGGCTGTTTCATACGAATGTTTTTCTCTAAAACCAGACTGTGATGGGACAATGAGCTTGTGTTCATTTAAAAACTTGTAAAAATGAGTATGTACATGCCTTTCCAGTATCTTTGGAATGAAAAATCTGCTTTTGATGGGTAAAACAGAGATTGGCCTATAATTATCAAAATCAGTAGAGTTACCACTTTTATACAAAGGAATTACTTTGGCAATTTTCCACTGGTCAGGAAATTTACAAGCACTTATACTAAGATTTATAATATATGTCAGTGAAGGTGCTACCTGATTATGAACAAGCTTCAGCAGCTTCGCTTTAACACCGTCAGCACCTAAAGCCTTCTTTTCATCTAAAGATTTCAGGAAAATACACACAAATTCAACTGAAACATCTGGGATAGAACATTTGTTACCTGTTGTCAATTTTGCTGACACAAATTGCTTAAGTTAATCAAAAGAAGACTGTTGATCATGTAGTTGTGCAATAATTAACCAGCAATTTCAGTAAAAAATGTATCAAAAAAATTTGCCATGTTTTTTTTATCATATATACTCTC